ATTCCTGTACCATGACACTGAACCTGTTCAACTCATCAAATAAATGCTACATGTTTGCAATATGGATGTTATTATTTGGGTGGCGCTAGTCTTCATAAAGGTAATCCTTGTTTGGTTTTGTAGAGGATGAATTGATATCTCCATGCATGTGCAAAGGGACCCAACAGTTTGTCCATCGTTCATGTCTTGATCACTGGCGCTCAGTAAAGGTGTATATTTTGATGTGTAATTTTAAATGCTAGTATTAATTGGTTGAAATCAAATGATAATTTGGTGAATATTTTTTTTGGATGCTTCATAGGAAGGGTTTGCCTTCTCACACTGCACCACATGCAAAGCCCAATTTCATCTTAGAGTTGAATTGTTTGAGGACAACTCTTGGCGTAAAATAAAATTCAGACTTTTTGTGGCAAGGGATGTTTTCCTTGTTTTTCTGGCTGTACAAACTGTGAGCATTCTTAACACTTCCCTGTCCTTCATATTTAATGATTAAGTTTTCATAGTTTTTTATTAAGCTATCCCAAAGAATATGTTATTTGTTTAGAAGTTCTCCTGTTTCAAGTCAATCATACATGTTATATACTTATATAGAAGATCTTCACTCCTGCATCTGTTATCATTATGCAATGTTATTTGTTATTAAGTACTACTCATCTGAAAGAAGATGGTACTTGTTAAACTGAGCTTTCATGCTTATTTTTCATTGGCCTAGGGGTAACAATTAGATATAGACCTTATGACTGTTGTTATCAGTATGGTAAGGAGACACCAATTGTTATAATACGAGATAAGACAATAAAAGAGTATATAATTGGAAGACAACTCTCACCAGTCGATTTTGTAGGGTTGAGTTAGGTCTAAATTCACTTTCTAAGATGGTATCAGAGTTAACCTAGATTTGTTAAAAGGGTCACTCATCATTTATACATGCACCAAATCCAATATAGTGTTGGGTGTGAGGAGATGTATTGGGAAAAATCCAAGTCCTGTCTATACTAAATCATTAAAAAATGTTACCTACCATTTATCTACGCACCAAGTCCAATAGTGTTAGACGTGAGGAAATGTATTGAGAAAAATCTAATTTTCACATCAATTAGAGATAAGACAATCAAAGGGTTTATAAGTGGAAGACACCTCTCATCTTACGGGCCGATTTAGTAGGACTTAATTAGACTCAAACCCACTTTCTAAAAAGAGTATTTCAATTTTATTAGTCCTTCAATTATTAGGATTTTTTCCATGCTGATGAAATAGTGAAATGCATAGCTAATTAGGGGACGGTTCATCACTTTCTTATATTTTCATATTTTTGCAATTTTCCCTTGTGGCAACATTGATAATTTAGGCCCCGTAAATTATTAATTTTTACCAGCACTTTTAGTTTACTGTGATGATTTAAAATGTTTTGAAAACTCATGCTGGGGTGGATATTTGTTTGCCATATGTTGTGCAATGTTTATTTACGAGTTTGTATAAGCAATGTTCTATTTATTTGCCAGGTGATTGCAGCTATTGGTGGCTTTGCGTACATCATGGACAAAGATGGTTCCTTCAGGAACTCATTTGATGATGGCTGGGATAGAATACTGTCAAAGCATCCAATTCCATTTTATTATTGTATTGGTAAGCTTTTATGGTAATGGAGGTTATTTGCTTTTAGCCAGTGGTCGAAATTCCTCATTATTTGTCCTTGTTTTTGCCCTCAGATTTTTCTGAAATAAGGAATCATATTTTCTACATATCATCCATGACATATGTAATTTACTTTTATATTTGCTTCATACTTTGTTTAATGTTAATCCCAAGGATTATTTTTCATGTTATATCTGTGCGGAATTTGGATCATCTCATGTTGCATTATAGTCATGTTTTAGAGAGAAAGACACATAACCAGACAAGTTAAAGTTTGATTTAAATTAGACTAAATAAAAAATAACATGAGAGAATCCAGCCAGACCTATTAGTAAAAAATCGTTAATATGAGAAAGTAGAAATCTAGTCCTGTTTTATTGCTTTTAGGAGGGGAAAAAGGAGGCACAATATGGTAGAAAGTTACTTTTAAAGTGAGTAACCTATTCTCTCCGAGCTATGTATTTTAATGTGTTTCTTAAACTGTTCACATTGTAATATCTAATCAAATTTCCTTATCCTTATTTGGATCTATTTTGACATTTATGTTAATTAATATCCTTGGAGGTAATAATTGTTTGAAAGGTCTAGCTTTTACTTCCTGTTCATCTCTCTGATGGTTTATATCTGTGTGTCAGGAGTGCTGGCCTTCTTTGTACTGATTGGGTTCTTTGGTCTCATACTGCATTGCTCCGCTCTCAATTCCAATGACCCCAGAATGGCTGGTTGTCAGAATTGTTGTTATGGATGGGGCATTTTGGATTGCTTTCCCGCATCAATGGAGGCATGCTTTGCCCTTGTGGTTGTTTTCGTTGTCATCTTTGCAATTCTTGGTATAGCTTATGGTTTTCTTGCTGCCACCATGGCCATTCAAAGAATTTGGCAGAGGCACTACCATATCCTCACCAAGAGGGAGCTTACAAAGGTAGTAATACATTAATACTTTTTTGAATGTACATATTATATCTTTCTACTAAAGAAAATCGGAGTTTAATGATAATGTACCGTCGGTATAAATTTTTTTACACAATCAACCGATTAGAAATAATGGATTATATAACTTTTAAGATAATTATTGTAAAAATTAACAAACTTATCATTTAGTGTGCCGATTAAAATTGTTTCACACTTTCCGAGCATCACACTATTAAACTCATAAAATCAGCCGTCTGAAATGATCTTCATATTTCGTATATTTGATGCTTTCTATCTCACACATTCATTGTTATAAATATTTACAGGAATATATTGTAGAGGATCTTCGCGGCTGTTACTTCCCACCAAAGTTGGATCCAGAACATGAAGGTCGTTTGAAAATGCTTAAGCTCTTGTGATTACGGAGCACGTAACTGTAAAAATGTTTTGAATGATTCAAGTTGTCGCTTTATTTGAACTGTTACAGTCTCATGCTTACCAACCGTGTTTGCTAGTGCTTTTAAATGGTTTATATCATCGTTTTTTTTTTTTTTTTTTTTAAATCTGTATACTGCAAATCTAACTGACTTGAAAAATGATGAAAATATATATGCAGATATTTGTCCATGCACAGGATTTACCTTTGATTTATACATCACAATTGTTATGAGTAATGATAATGATTGGTAAACATATTTTCACTCCAAACAAGTTACTAACATCTCTTCATATTACTCCGATGTCAAATACAGTGTTAAATATTAAAAAAAATCTCTGTATTTGTTGGTATCGCTAAATATAGGTAAATATTAATTAATTATGCTCAATTCAATATTATCATCTTTAAAATATTTCTTTATTTAATTAAAATTATGTTTTTAATACTTTTTTTTTTAATTCTTGATATCAAATTTTAAGTAAGGATAATTTAAGAAAATAAGTTATTTTTTAAAATGAAATTAAATGATGTAAATTATATTTTTACTAGGGATGATAAAACAAGTGTATATGACTTGTTTAGGCCAAACAACCTGTCAAAAATGGGTTAGGGTGGCTCGACAAATAAAAATAGGTTGGACACTTTGACCCATTCTATCTAAGAATGTATTGGTGGGATAATTTGCTAAAAGAATTGATTCATATAAATTAATATATCTAAATAATAAAATAAATTTGATGTAGCAGATTTGGTTTAATTTGCTACACTAAATTTTAAATTTTATGCATAATAAAATAGATATGTGATTATATATTAATAACTTTTCCAAAATATTTCCAAAAAAAAAAAGGATTAGTTTGAACAATCGGATTGATTCATATTTGAAAGTTGGAAATCCAATCAATTTGATTTGGACCTTGGATTTTGATTTCTAGGAATCAAACCAATCGATCCAAACAATTAATTTAATACTAATATTTTAGCCAATATAATACGCAATATGCAAATATGATTATTATATATAATATAATTAAATTTTATAATAAATTATATATAAATAATACTGTATTTGAATATATATATATATATATATATATATATATATATAATTTAAAATTGATATACATAAATATTTTTAAAGATATAAATTATATTTTAGATTCATGATAAATAATTTGAATTGTAACAAAAAAAATTATTTTTACTATTGATAATTTATTTTAAAATATGAATATTTAATTCATAAAAAATTATGATAAATAAAAATAAAAATAGATAAGAAGTTAAAAAAAATCCTTACAAACCTTCTCGTTGAATAAAAACTTCTAAAAATATCCTCGTACAAGATAGAAATTCGTATTTAATACACATGAATTTATTATTATTATTATTATTATTATTATTATTTTATTAGATTTATTTTGGTTGTTAGATTTGGGCTTCTAGACAAAGAAAGGATAAGGGGTGTGTTCATCCTATACTTTTTTGTTTGAAACTTTCCAATTCATTTATTGTTAATGGACAAAAATGAAACTTAAACTTTTTATTTGTCTCATTGTGAGTGTCTCTCATTCGTGAAAGTTTAGAATCAATTACATATTATGATTTTTGTGGTATAGGTTATAACACTTGAGATATTTTGTTGAGTTTGTAATATTGAGAGTGACCTGATAAATTCGTAGATTATGGTATTGGACAAATTTAAGTTTTAATTCAATGATTTTTTTATTTATACTTTTTATGCTTATAATTTTAATGTTTTAAGTAGTACTTTATAATATCAATAAAAAAATTCTTTAAAAAAGTGTATATTTCTTCCTCAATATCTAAAGGATTCATATAAATTAATATATCTAAATAATAAAATAAATCTGATGTAGCAGATTTGGTTTAATTTGCTACACTAAATTTTAAATTTGATGCATAATAAAATAGATATGTGATTATAATATTAATAACTTTTCCAAAATATTTCAAAAAAAAAAAAAAAAAGGATTAGTTTGAACAATCGGATTGATTCATATTTGAAAGTTGGAAATCCAATCAATTTGATTTGGACCTTGGATTTTGATTTCTAGGAATCAAACCAATCGATCCAAACAATTAATTTAATACTAATATTTTAGCCAATATAATACGCAATATGCAAATATGATTATTATATATAATATAATTAAATTTTATAATAAATTATATATAAATAATACTGTATTTGAATATATATATATATATATATATATATATTATTTAAAATTGATATACATAAATATTTTTAAAGATATAAATTATATTTTAGATTCATGATAAATAATTTGAATTGTAACAAAAAAAATTATTTTTACTATTGATAATTTATTTTAAAATATGAATATTTAATTCATAAAAAATTATGATAAATAAAAATAAAAATAGATAAGAAGTTAAAAAAAATCCTTACAAACCTTCTCGTTGAATAAAAACTTCTAAAAATATCCTCGTACAAGATAGAAATTCGTATTTAATACACATGAATTTATTATTATTATTATTATTATTATTATTATTTTATTAGATTTATTTTGGTTGTTAGATTTGGGCTTCTAGACAAAGAAAGGATAAGGGGTGTGTTCATCCTATACTTTTTTGTTTGAAACTTTCCAATTCATTTATTGTTAATGGACAAAAATGAAACTTAAACTTTTTATTTGTCTCATTGTGAGTGTCTCTCATTCGTGAAAGTTTAGAATCAATTACATATTATGATTTTTGTGGTATAAGTTATAACACTTGAGATATTTTGTTGAGTTTGTAATATTGAGAGTGACCTGATAAATTCGTAGATTATGATATTGGACAAATTTAAGTTTTAATTCAATGATTTTTTTTAATACTTTTTATGCTTATAATTTTAATGTTTTAAGTAGTACTTTATAATATCAATAAAAAAATTTATAATATTAAATATTTTATTAGTTGATAACATAAAATATATTTTACGAGTTATACAATGTGATTTTATTTTTTAATTTTACAAGTAAATCCAATGAAGTGATCAAATCCAAAATTATTGGAGACTAGAAAAAAATCAATCTAATTTAATTAAAGTTGATTGGATTGGATCAAAATATGTTTCAAATCCAATCTAATCCGTACCTACTCCTAATATTTGTTACATAACAAATATCAAGTTATATTTAATCAAATAAATAACATACTTGTACAATAAATCACAAATTACACATAATAAAAAATAATATTTTTTTTCACTTACATATGCAATCCGAGAGTACATTGTATTACTATCATTTATAGAGTTTGTTTATATATGACTTAGAGGAGTTTTTTTATATTAAAAATAAAGAGTATTTTTCGATTAAAAAAAATCTCTTAAAAATCTTTCTAATCTTATAAAAAAAAACTCATAATACATTTCTTTTTCAAAAGTGTCCCTAGTTTATCCGTATTAACTGATATTTTTGTTATTATACATGTGCGGAGGGCAACGCAGTCGTACATGCTTACCCATTTATGTTGTTGGCAAAAAAAACGTGGAAATGAATAAGAAAAGATCTACGAGTCTTGAATGATTTGAGTATGGTGTTGTGATTGGGCTTGTGGTGGGGGGAGGACATGTCTACCGGCTAAAAGAGTGTACTGAATTATTGATGTGCATCTATCATTTTTATCACAGGGAACACTCCCTTGTAAAGCTGTGTCAAGTAGAGAGAGTTAGACTAAAATATTTTATTTCGCATTCTAACAAAGCTTTCCTGCTAAAGATTTACAATTGAGAGAACAGATGAAACCAGAAAGAAAAAGAAGAAGTTAAAAGTAAAAACGTTGATTAGAATTGGATTATAGTACCCCACTATGACCTACAAAAACAAGATGGTCACCATCTCTAATGACATCTATATCTTCAACCTGATATCCATCTTTGAGCACAACCTTGGCAGGACGGATACCAAATTTGTTGGCTCCAATCTGAAGCAGCTCTTGAAAGGTTGGAGGTAGTAAAACAAGCTTGCCAACATCCTCACCCGTTTCAGGGCAACTAACTACCACTCTGGTTCCTCCAACTCGACTCTTGAGACCACTCCTGGCATTGGTATTCATGTCAAGAGACAAAAGCAGGTCCTTCTCCCCGTTGTGTGCTGCTGACATTATCCCAAAGAGGGAGTTATGGTAATTGTTGCTCCTACGCCTTGGACGGCTTTGGCTCCAAGAGGCATCAGTTGCATGAAACGAGGCATCAAGGGGCAGAGGCATGGTTGGCTCACTTGTGAACCTTCCAAGGTACCTCATCTTACTCTGCTTATCGGGAATAGGAAGTGATGAAGAGTGAAGCCAAGGGTCCCCAGCCCCAGCCCCAGCCCCAGCCCCAGTGGATTGAAAAATGGAAATGATTTCACTTTGTGACTGCTGATCTGCTAGATTTCTTGGGGTCCAACCATGCTTGTCTGGCTTGTCGATACTTGCCCCGTGATCCAAAAGGAACTTGACAATCTCAACATTGCCTTCAGAGACAGCAACGTGCAAAGCTGTGGTCCCAGTGTTGCTATTTGGAAGCGTGATATCTCCCCCATACCGCACTATTTCCTTCAGCAAGTTGAGACTGTTTTGTTCAGCGGCACTGCATGCAAACTGACCCACATCCCCGTACTGCAAGTTAGCTCCATTTTCTGCTAACAACTTGCTCACTGACTCATGTCCTCCTGCCATAGCCTCCCACAGTGCCACATTACCATCCAAATCTGCACGTAGCAGAGTAAACCTATTAAACTCAGGTCATTGGGTGCAAATTACATGCATATATGCACGTCAGTGTTACAAAGTCAACATAGATCTCTTTTGATTTACATCAAAAATCAATGCTTAATTTCTTATATAATCGTGGAATGGGTTGTGGATTTTAGATAAGGTTGGTAAGATAACAAGAAAGATGGCAACTCCACATTCTTTATTAAGTTATGGAACAACGCTCTTCTTGGCTCTCCTCCTCTCCTAAGAAATTATTAAATTGTCCAAAATCTAATGATTCTGTATTATCTAATAATTTCTCACACCGATCCCAAAACAAAAGAATATCTAATTTATAATTTAATAACACTAACATAATATTTCACTCAATGATGAATAAAAGATTAGAAAGAGAATGTCAACTAATATATTACTGATATCAATATATTAATAAGCTGTCGATATCTATTATATAGAGGAGTTTGATCCAACTTATACGGAAACTTCTGTAATTTTCCATTTACAAAAAAAAAAGAAGAAGAAGAAGAAGCGTGTACACGAACTCTACTAAATACTATATAATTTTAATTAAAAAAAATATAGAAGCAAAAGAGGCATGTTATAGTCAGGATAGGTGACCATATGGCTCTCCAACTTCTTATTATAGCATGTTGATTTTATATTTAGTTGGTTGCCGACCATGAGAGACTTTGCTTTCTACTAGGAGACTGATGCATAATGGAGGCTCTCCACTATTATTTCAACAAATGAACATCATCAATATCTATTATTACATTAATGACTTATTTTCCCTTTCTATTTCCATGTCTTGGTAAGGGCCACTAGGCTGTTGACAAAATTAAAGATTAAATATATAACTCAATGAGAACAGCTGATGTAAGGATTAATTGTTTTAAGTTTATTAACACTACACGAAACTTGATCAATTATTTTTTTTGGAAGCAAATCCAAAGCACATGGCTGTGGATTAAAATTTAGAGCATCAGGTTCTCATCGGGTACAACTCAATTGGTTCAATTGTAATTAAATAAAAAGATGCACTCATGGAAATTCTAATACAGGAAAATTGTGTTACTTATTATACAAGAAAAGAAATCACACACTAGAGTCTAACGAAGATAGGCATGTAAGTCATTGTTTACTTATTCAAATGCATTTGTTAACATCAGGCTGATGCTAAAGAGATGAAAGTTTGGGAAAGGAAAGGAAATAAACGACTTTTATATTTTTAATTTAATAATATTTTATTTTTTGATAAACACTTTCAATTTTTTATCTCTAATATATTCTAATATTAACAAAACCTTTATTTAAAATATCATTCATACCGATTCTTGAGCAGTGCAGTGGGACTAACGTCTTAATGTGTCAGACTTTAAACAGTAGAGAAGAATACAAATATTTATTAATTAACTTTGAAATCCTGTCTTGCTAGTAATTGTCATGCCTAGAAGTCTTCATCTTCCAAAGTTCTTCAAATTGGTTTTATACATTCTTATCTAAACTTATGGCTTTGAGAGAATAAGTCATATTACCACAATGTAAAACAGTTTTACGTTATTAACTAATCACAGATTACTATGTATGACAAATTTATTAATTTTTATAATAAATAACTAAAAAATTATATCAACAATAAATATTGATCGATTAACATTGTAAAAGTATTTTATAATATTAGTGTATTAAAACTATATAGTTTTTATCATTTGATCTTATAACTTGTCTAATAGTGTAACTAATAATATAATTTAAGGAAGTGGTAAGAAATGTCTACCTCTAATGTTGGGATCCGCCCCATAATCTAACAGAAGCGAAACACAGTTCTCTTTTCCTTGAGATGCCGCCATATGCTGATTTTGTAAAAATAAATGAGCACTAGAATGGAAAAACAAAATGGTATGGAAAAGAAGGTCAAAAACAAAATTATCGACCCACCAAAGCTGTCCTTCGATTGTTGTCGGATTCATTTGGATCCATGCCCTTCTTCAGCAATTGTAGCAACAAGTCTTCTCCTCTTGCTGCCGCAAAGCATACACTTACTGGTAGGTCCATCCTACCACGAGCTATCATGTTCTCAATCTCCACCAAAACTCCCTCCATGATTGGATCGTTGAGCTCTTTCAAATGCTGCCCACCATAATGAGTCCACATACATCAAATCACTATGTACTATGTTCAATGTGCTTTTTACTATTAATATTTTTTATTACATTCTATTATAATTGAATATGTTTGTGAACAAGGTTTCTTTTAAAACATAAAGTCGTTAAAAAATACAAAAGTATATGGTAAGTTTTTTTTATAAAATGTCCGCCTAAAAAATTTAGTCCGTCAATCAATTAAAACTACTGTTAGTATAATTTTTTTAAAATTAATTATTATAAAAGACAACAAATTTAATTATGGATGGTAGTTTATGAATGAACAATAATGTAAAGTATTATATTGTCGGTACATGGAGTATTTTTTCATAAAAAAAAATATTCTAAAAATTCATTAGATGCAGCGAATGGTTATGATGCTATGCAGACCTGAAGGAGATTATTCATGATTATGGTTCCGTCTCCTAAGTTGGCCTTAACAATATTCAAGAACACTGTACGGTTTAGCCTCAGCAACTGGCTCAAACGCTTCGTTCGAACTGTGAAAAGCTGTGGCTTATAACAAAGCACACCAATCTCACCACAGAGATCACCAGTTTTGGCCTCTCCAACAACCTGAAATCAATTAATTACAAACATTCAGATTTAGTTTCATATTATATATTTCACCCCTGTTTCTTACTACGTATAGATAAATGAACTTGCCTGTTCAACCCCATTTTTAAGAACTAGTAGGTCCTGCCAAACAATTAAACCATTAGAAATCACATTTTGTACGAGTGTTTCAGAGGAAGAAAAATCCCATGTTCTATTATAACATATCTTGTCAGATTTTGAAAAGCAGGTATATAGTTTACATAATTAAAGTTTGACATTTACCACGGCACCAGTGACTAGAATATAAAAATCAGTGGGGGCTTCGTTTTGCAAGATAACATCTTCTTTGGGTGGAAAATATTCAGCTTTCATCTCTGACACCTTTTATAGTTGGTAAAAAAAAAAAGGGTCATTAGGGAAAATTCAAGATTAAAATAAATATTTAACTATCAATTACAAGCTGGGACAAAAATAAAATAAAATTGCGGTTACCAATTGAAAGAGCAAGTCATTTGAAACCCCACGAAACAAGTAGACCTTATCAACGAGAGAATAGAAAAGATAATGTGAAATGCTCGATCTGATGGCTTTAGGAAGAGAATCAAGTGTCTCTTGCTGCTGCAACCCTTCTGAGTCTGTCCTATACTTCAAACATAAGTGAGCAAGCATTTGGTCTTGCAGACGAGGAGGCAATTGGTTCCTATGGGCGAAATTTGATGCAGCTTGTATTGTATCCCTCTGAGAAGAATTTAGTATATCATATTATGTTTTACATCTTCCGCAACTTAAAAATTCTTGGTTTACTTCTTCAGCGAAGAAGAGAAATATAAGAAAATAAAATACTAATTACTAAATATGAATAAGAAATCCAGTACGAGAGATTTTGTAGCAAGAAAAAGAGAAAAACTCTTTAATTCAAGCCACTTATTTAGTTAATAACATTGACTATTTTCTTGTGTTATTTTTTATATATCTTCTAGAAAACTAAAACTAAGAGTTTTGAGAGAGAGAGAGAGAACTCACTTGTGTGAGAGAGAAAATCTTTTTGAGAAAAAAATTAAAAGAGAGTTTAGTCATTTTATTGGTGAGATTATTGTTATTGTATTTCATTATCACTATATTAAAAATATTCTTTTATCCTATAAGTGTAATTTCATAAAGTGTGGAAAAAGTTAGATCTAGAGATAATAATTGTTTTTTGGCCTTATACTAGGCAATTTTATTTGTTATTTTTCCTAATAAAAATTTCCAACATGGACTAAATAAGTCTATAACCATATACTTACAAATTTTCTGGTACGACTTGTGCCATGGACGACCAAGTTGGTCATGTTACCAATCAGATATGCAGTTAACCCCAGATTAAAGAGCATGTAAAAGATGTCAAAGATCATCTCCCTTGAATTCACTGGATGCAAATCTCCATAACCAACCGTTGTTAAGGTAGTAATAGACCAATAAATTGATGTCACATATCTTGACCACAAGCTATGTTGAAGGAAATTATCCATCGTTGCCCCAATCCATGTCTTTTTGGGATCATGATAACGTGCAGCAATAAGATAATAGAAACATGCAGCACAATGAACAGCAAAGAGGGTAACCTATAGAAATCACTCCCACAATCAGTCTATTGAACTTGTCGATTTCATCTTCCTTATTAAAATATAAGTTTGGAAACTTACTGCAATGAGCTTAGCACACCGAACCCAAAAATAGTTATAGTTTCTGTCCTTCTCAAGCCTACAAAAAATGATATTATTATTCACAGTTGCAAGCCACATAAATGAGAAACAAATTATCCATAGCATTTTATTGAAAGCTGTCAATATTACTTAGAAAACAAAGCGCTAACTCTTCGAAGACGCCAAAGGCGAAGCATGTTGAATAGTCCATAAGACTGAAGAGGAGAAGGTGATATTTTCTGAACAAGCTCTGAAGGAATAATAGAGATGACATCAAAGGCCAACCAAGTTCTTGCATATTTCCAAGCAATCTGTTTTGGCTCATCCACGATCAAATAAGTGGTTTTGTCAATGTAAGCCACAAAGAAGGTTAGAACTATATCCACGGCAAAAAATCCATTGACAATATTATCCGTAATGGAAAGGGGTGCTTCTGGTTTCTTAAGGAATCCGAATTCAAAGGGAGAAACCCAAGCAGTGTAAACTACCAAAATAACAAGGAAAGTTTCCCATATCCTGCAAAATCCAACAAATTTTAATTACTTAATAATACTCATATGGGTCACAAAGCTACAAACTTAGAGTACTGCAGTTGATTACAAGGGAGAAGAAAACAGAGAAAAGAAAATATATTTTTCTACACGAAATTCAAGTTGTAGTTAGACTTTAGACCAGAGTCAATAACAAAACATTTATTTGGAATTATGAATTATCCCTTGGCACTTGTTTTCATTGAAGTACCATCCAAACTCTTCCATTGTCAACACCAAACCCTGGATGTTTCAATTCCAAGGAAACAAAGTCAAACTTCATAGTTTGACTAACTGCCAGGTGGGTGCTCGTGACTCTTGCTTCGAAACCTCAAGTTGAACAAAGCAAACCAATCCAAAATACGCATCTATATGGCATTTAATGGACCAACTCCGGGTGTCAGAATTTGATTTTTAATATCATGTGAAACATGCAGCCAACCTAGTTCTGAACAGAATAAGGCCAATGTTGCTGGTCCATGATTTTTAAAAAATTGAATAGATCCAACGGAGAAACATTTTCAGAAATGAAACCACGATTAAAAAAATGATCAAACGTAAAGGAGAATGAAAGAGAAGGACTTGGTTGTTCTCGTAATGAGCATGGATCACAAGAAGAGACCCAGTGCTGTTCATTCTGGCTTGTGAACAGTGGAGAAACCGACACGTGAGCATAAACTCGTGAGAAGAAAAGAGCTAAATATTAGCATTTAGGTAAATTGCAGAACCGAGAGAAGTAGGCAAAATTGAAAAAGATTGTGAATATTCCGAGGAAGGAAGGAAGGGGTTAAATAGTTTGAAAAAGCAGGATAGGAGAATGGAATAAAAAAAGAAAATAGTAATAGTAGCATAGAATGAAAAAGAGAAATAAAGAACAAGGTTGGTTTTGGTTCCGTCAGAAACAAGGAAATAGTAGAAAGTATGGGAGAAAAGCGAGTAAGAGAAGAGACGTTGCATTGAAGCATAAGAAGAAGGAAACCTGTAGCGGCGGTCATAGGGAGAGAGAATGAAAGGGTTGAGCTTGATTCTGCGGTTACTTCGGGCGCCGAGAGAAGGTAATATCCCGGTAGAGAGACTGTAGTGGCTGCCATCTCTGGAGAGTTCGAGGTCTTCGTGGCCGCAGACAGACATAGGTAGCAACATTTTTGTTTGTGTTACTAAAGAGTTTGGGTCGGCATGTTATCGGGGAGGCGGTTCTCAATGTTTTCTTGTGTTGACTGTTGAGAATGGTGGCAACCAACCAAGGTGTCTCGCCTCCTTTATATACGCAAATCCGGAGGCGCTTCATTCCGCCTTTCTTTTTTATATCTTTTTTTCTTTACTATCTATACTTTTTAATATTTATTATTTACCGCCCAACTAAACTAAAATATATATATATATACATATATCCGCTTTTTTAACTCTTTTAATTTCAACAATATCTTTTAAAATTATTTTCAACAAATTACGGGGGCGTGTGCGTGTGGGCAAAGGAACAGAGATACTTCGAAACAAAAATAATAATGCAGGAAAGAGAATATTATATTATTAATAAATGATGATACAGAATTCAGAAATATTATCCTGCTTTGTGTATGCAGCCGCGTTAAATCTTGGGGTCAGCTATCTCACCCTTTGAGGTGCCTCCAACATAACGAGAAAATTAGTCACTGTTATCGGCGGTGGATACTCCAGGAACGAACTAAAAAAAAAATACAGAAATATTAAACACAAAGATACGAAAAGAAAACTGGAATATATTTATATTATATTATTAATAAAGAAGATTATATATTTTATTTTTTTGGATAAATTTATTTTATAATTAATTTTTTAATATTTCACGTGAATCATGTTCATGAATGTAAAAAAAGATTTTTTTTTGTCTTTCCATCATTTTTACTTTGTTATCAATTTCACTTTTTTAAAATTGTTCAAAAACTATCTTTATAATTATAATTGAAAACTATCCAACTTTTTATTTTATTTTTAAAAAATACTAGAAAGTATGAAGTGCCTTTTTTTTTTTTTGTTAATGATAGTGATAATAATAGCTCTTAAATTTTATTTATGGACTTTTATGTATAGTTGTACCGTAGTAAATATTTTCAATATTTCCTTTTAATTATTTAAAGTTAGCTTTAATGTCTGGTATTAAAAAATTAAAAAAAAGTTAACTATTGACTTGTTATGAATTAATTTTTAGTCAATTTATCATTTTTTTTTAATTATAAATTTTATAGTTCTTTAACCGCGTTTTCAAAAAATAGGTTACATGATATTTTTGAACCGGTATGGGTTTTAAGTTAGTTCATTAAAAATAAAAATATATGCAGTAAAAAAAAGTTCGTTCATTCAATTCAATCCGATTTCTAAAATAAATATATTTATAATTGATTTCAAACATTTAAAAGCGGTAGGTTATGCTTCAAAAAGAAATATATATTTTTTACACTTTTTATACTATTATTTAATAAATACTATATTTTTTAAATAAGTTATTATTTTTAAATACTTTTTTCTTTACTAAAATGGCATTGAAAAGACTAAAAAAATTGAACAAATATAAAATTGATTGAATCAAAAGGTATAAAACTTTCCTATTGAAAACTGATCTAATGAATTCAATTTGAACTTAATTTATATATATATACTGTTTGTAAAAGTTTAAAGTTTAAGATACTCCATCCGGTGATGAATATAAATAAAAATATATATATTTATTGGTCTTAAATATAAATATATTTTAATTAATTTATTATATTTAATGTTACTATTTCTAAAATAATTTTTCATTTAAGGTTGTATTTTAATGGTCATTTTTATTTTTAATATTATGTTACAAGAAAGAGTAATTTAGAAAATTAAGTTATTTTTTTAATATATTTAATATAATTAAATATTTTTAACTTTATTTTTTCGGCTAGTGTAAATTAATTAATTTTTTCTCTCCTTATATTTAAAACTAGAGGGCGTATATTAAATTGAAATTGCAAAGATAATTTTAACTTGAACATATCTTGTGAATTTTAAAAGATTGTGTAAGAATGTAACTATTTTTAAAATTATATTTTAAAGATTTTATAATCAAGATTTTGAAAGATTTATCATAAAAGTTTATAATATTTGAAAGGATGTTATAGATTTATTAGTTTAAAAGGATAACATGGATATTAAAAATATTTTATATTATAATGATTAATATAAAAAAAACATAAAATATAACGTTCAATAAAAATAATAATATAATTAATATAATTTTAAATTTTTTAACAAATAATTAATTATAATTACATATCCTCTTAAGTAAATTTTTTTTTACATATCTAAAATTATATGTTAGTCATTCTTGCATTGTTATCTTTTGTTTATGCATTTTGGTTTAAACAGTACATTTTAAATTATAATATTCATTAATTTGTAATTTTGAAGATAAAAATTCGTCGATGTTGATTCAATCATAAGTATAAATAATTAAACTTATTTTATTTTATAACTGTTTTATTAGATAAATTAATTCCAAATTTTTAATTTAAAAATATTTAATTTAGTTTTTGAAATAATTTATTTTATTTTCAAGGTAATTTCATGTTTACCATATACAAATTTATATTTTTAATAAATTAATTTTTTATTTTAATAGTAAATTTTACCAAATTTAAGCATTAGTAATTTTTAAATATTTAATAGTTAAAAATTATCAATAAATAATATTTATTAATTCAAAATAACCTTAAACATTTAATAATTTAAAAATGTAAATGTTTGAGAGTGTATTGGATTGAGATTTCAAAAGGATTTTAAAATATTTTTTACTACAAAATAGTCTTATGATATTCAATCAAGATTTTTTTTTAATATAAAAATATAATATAATATTCAATTAAGATAATAAGAATTTTTTTAAGAATACATCAAAATATGATGATATTCAATTAATACAATCAAAATTTTTAAGAGTAAGTAAAAATTTGATGATATTTAACTAACAATTTTTTACTTAACAAAAGTCTATTGGTATTTCAAAACATATAAATTTTAATAGATTATTTTGAAAGATGGATTTTATGATTTTTTTTAATAAAATTTATATATAATTCACTTGTTCAACAATCTCATAAAAATCTTTAAGATTTTGCATGATATTTTCTATTTTACCATTTTTCTTTCTTTTACATTTATTGTTTCTCTATCTTTCTCCTTTCTCACTCATTGTCTTTTATAAATTTGAACATATTTTTCCAATATAATAATATACATGAAAAAATATAAATAAATATAGTTACCAGTTATATGTTGAAAAATGTTACTTTAAAAAATATAAAAACAAAATCAATTATTTATTAAAAGATTGAAAAAAATTGATTTTATTTCCTTCATTCAAATACTATAATGTATATTATTTTATTATTAATTGTGTTATTTTTTAAAAATTTGTATTATCTTTTAAAATCTTATTAAATTCTTTCAAATTTAATATATAAGATATATATATTTATTAAAATTTATATTACAAAATCTTGATTAAGAAAATCTTTTAAATAAAATTTTAAAAGTTATTACATTTTTACAAAATCTTTTAAAATTTAATTATATATTTTTAATAATACTTATAATTAAAAATTATAAAATAAATATAATTACATATTTGTTAGCCAATTTTTTTATTAATTATCTGCGACACCCTATAATTAATTCTGGCTCCGTCCTTGTCCGTGGAATTTTGTGAAGAGGGTGGAGGCTCTAACTTGTTTTCTGTTGGGCTGATGTTTTAACCATTTTTTCGGTTGGGGCAAACTTTTTTTTTTTTTTTTTTTTTATGTTATAACCGTTTGAAAATTAGAAAATAAATCATTATTTGTCATAAAAATTAATTGAATAATATAGTGTTTGGTTGGAGTTCAGATGAAAATAAGAATTTAATAAAAAAAATATTTAATTTAATTTTTAAGAAGAAAGAGAGGAGAGAAGAGTAAAATATCAATTAATTCAATTTTAACTCTCTTCAATATTAGAAGGATTTAGAGAATAATTTTAAAAAAAAAATATTTTAATATAATATTATATAAATATAAAAATAAATTAAATTTTAAATTCTCTCATTTTCTTATAAATAAAAAAATTTAAAATTATATATTTACTTTCAATCAAACAAAATTTTTAATTCATCCCCTTCCATTAAAATTTCTCTCTTCTTTTCTTTTAACCAACCAGACTCTGCAAACAGATATTATATTACAGTGGTGCATCCAAACACAATTTCTAATCGTCCAAGATATATATATATATATAATATCCTGATCCTCTTAAAAAAATATTAAAAGACAATATGTAACTATTTGAATTCAAGTCACTGGTGATGCAAATGTTAACTGTTTAAAAATTATCTATATTTTATTAATCTTTATTATATTTTTTTCTTAAGTTATGAAATTATGAAGTATAATTAAAAAGTTATAAAAGTGTAGATTACTTAGAATATCTCTAATAATGGTTTTTATTAAAAAAAATTATTAAAATTATTATTTTATTTAAATAAAATTCACCATATCACATCATTTTTAAGCATTTCATATTATATTTTTATAAATTTGACATCAATAATAAGATCTTATAAGTTATGCACACTTTTATAATTTTTTTATTATTTACAATTCACTTTTTCATAACTTAAAAAATAATGTAATTATTACAATTAAATATTAATCTAATTAAACATAATAAATAATATTTTAATATATATAAAAATTAATAATAAAATTTACATAATTAATTTAATGCATGTAAAAATATTAATCAATTACAAGCAAATAAAAAACATGTGCAACTTAATTTTTTAATCAATTATAGTTTGATTTTAATTAATTACAATAACAAAAAATCTCTTTCAACTAATTGTTTGATCATTTAATCAATTAAAAATATATTATCAGGATAAGATACTTAACAAATTTTATAAGAATAAAATGGTAATTTTTGTTATATGATAAATTTTTTTCTCTCTATTCATTTAAATTAAATAATTCTATAATATTGCTTTTTTTTCTCATTTTTTTAAAACCAAACAAACTAATTTTTATTATATTTTTACTTATTTTTCTTTTCTTATTTCCTACTACTTCACTTCTCAACTTTTTTTCTTCTTGTAACCGATCACAATGTAAACGTTCAACATAACAATGTAGAGATTGAATCCCATGGAGTTCAATGAAAACAAAAACCACTCAAACTTTATTTCTTCCATTTACAAAATTAAAA